ATGCTTTATTACATCCTTAATGAAATCTGACATTTCAGTTTTGGTAATTGCTGTATTAAAACTTTTTTGAAATAAACAACAATTAAACTACACATACAATACAATAACAGATTTCAAATAAACAACAACTAAATTACACTAAAAATATAGTACAACAATACATTAATTGATTTTCACCTTTTTTTTTCATATATTTGCTTGAGTATATTTGTGAATAAAAATCAAAATAAACTCAAGTTATACCATAAAATCTGTATTAGAAGCCGCATCACTAATAGAAGTCACACCCATCCTTTTTGAACAATTGAGAATCAAAAATTCATCATTTCTCATATGTGTAGATGCTCTAATAGAAGCAGCATCTCCTATGTTGCATTGTACCATTTTAATAGAAGCCACAGCTTCTAATACAGATTTTACAGTAATTGTCAAGCAACCAAACTTGTTCCCTACATCACTGCCACATGAATTGTTTTCTAAATGCTCATCTACATGCTATAATATGCCATACATTTTGTCTTTGCATTTATTTACACTTTGTCACTTCCTCGTATAATAACTCAACATTTTCTTTCTCCTATCCTACAAATGTATATTGTAATTTTGCAAATGTCCATTCTCCTTGTTTCATAACTCCCAATAAAGTTATAAACCTTATTTCTCATAGAGAGTAATTAAAAAAAATTAAAAAAAAAAAAAGCTTAATATAAACTTCGAGTGCCCCCCCCCCCAAAAAAAACAATCTTAGTACTATTCCTGTACAACATAAAACATGTCACTGTCCCCGCAATTTTCAGAGATTTTCTGATTTTTCTTTCTTTCTTTTGTTGAATTTCAGTGTATTTTAATTTTAGTGTTAATTTTATTTGTCTTTTGTAATCATTTTTTACGTTACTAAACCCACAGATGGTTAAGTTGCATAATAAAGTTATTATTATTATTAAACATTACTCTATTTGAATATTAATCTAGCTTCTCAGTTAAGAGGAGATTACAAATCATGAACAAAAGCACCAACGGACCACCCAACCAATGACTATACTCACGATACAAATCTGCCAGCTTCAACTTGTAAGATTGGGTATTGCAACTGAGTTTCCAACAAGACATCTTTTGCCTTTGAGCCATCTTTACAACTTTCAGGTTGGTAAATCCTCAGAAAACCATGGAAACTGCCCACAATAATTTTATCTGAAAAAGTATACAATAATAAAGATGATGATCTGTAACTTTTTTACCAAAAATGACAAAAATATTCACTAAAATTAGAGAATTAAAGATATCATCACGAAATAAACAAATCTGAGAGAGGTCCACATGTAGTACCTATATATGTATTATAAAAGCAATCAAACTTGCGGTTTACAACAAGAAGTCGAAAATATCACTTTTTAGCAAAAATGACAAAAATATTCACCAAAATTAGAGAATTGAAGATATTCATCATGAAATGAACAAATTTGAGAGAGGTACATATACACCAAGTATCAAAGCACTGAGGCTTGTAGTTTTCAAGAAGAAGTTGAAAAAGTAAAACATTGACACGGACGCCGGACGCCACCCAATCACTCATATGATAAGCTCCGCTCGACAGTGGAGCTAAAAAGTGTATGTTGTCAGTTTCAACCTCAGACCACTAACAAGAACCTACAAGAACTATGCATTCCTCTTTGATGGAATATCTATCTCTGGTTTGTACTTTTTTTTTTAATGTTGGCAGATAGGACACACCATCTTGTGATGGTATACAGCTGAACTGACCAACTCACACTGACTGCGAGAGTTTACATGCTCTCATGGAATTGTGAGTGACGCAAATGCATTACAATCATGAGTCTGAGCCACAACAACAACACAGCTTCGCTATCATAAGTCAAGGTATGTGACCATGAAAACAAGCCCATTAAACAGAAGAACATTGACTCAAGCTTTGCCATTTGGTGTGGTAAATATTCATCCAGTAATCCTGTCAAATCACACCTACATGCAGTAGAGACTACTGACTGCAAGTCAATGTCAAGTTCATGTGCAACTGATTACAATGATCTACATTTGTCACCAATAGGACTTACCCAATCCATTTGCATTATTGTCTACATTTCCAACACATAAACATCCTTGATCAAATTCTTCATCAACACCGGCATTCACATACCACCAATCACGTGCTTTGAATAATGACATTGTCACTAATTATTGCACTAAGTTCATAAATCTGGAATACATTAAAAAGACAATAATTAATTGCATGATAACTGCAGAATAAAAAGCAGTTCAAAATAGTATGAGGTTATTATCATTCATTATCACTTCTTGGTGAAACTAGTAACGACATGGACTCAAGTCATGAAACTTGCTTCTGTTTACTTGCATACATATTTGCAACTGTTGAGCCAATCAAAAAATGACATGCATACATGTACAGTGGTTTAGTTGATCGTGATAAGGTTTTCCCACATGAATTTGTTCAAAACTCTCGTCATTAGGCAGCATGCATTAAAGAATGTACAGTAACAACAATGTATTTCACACTGCTTTCATACATTTGCATATACCTCATACTGAATATGACGTATTGCGACAATTCTGTTGTTTTAATCTAATATACCGTACCATATTTTCTCTCATCTCTTATTGAAGTGCATCACCTATAGATGTGCACCTTCAATGGAAGAGCATCTTTATTAAAAGTGCATGTTCAATAAAAGTGCATCCGTAATAGCAACACATCTCACATAGGAATGCTTCTACAACAGAAGCAAATACAGTAGAGCTATCTGCAATGAATATTATATCATCTTGAATGACATTATGTACATTTCCTAGAATTATTATTATATATTTATGGGTTTCTCTGACTATACTAAAAGACACACAAGAGCAGACATGCTAAAAGTGAATCACAACATTACTGAATTTAGGCGAGCTATGAGCTCAACATGCCAGAGTTGTTGTGATTAAGTTTCTGAAGTATAAATTTGTGGGAAACTCAACCTCAATCTTGATCAAACCACAGTCCCTCTATAGAGGCCTATAGAGAGACTATGATCAAACACAAATAAAATAAAATAAACAACAATTAGATGCGCACTTTGTTAATTTCCGGAATTCATGCAAAATTCAGACAATTGAATATATCACATACTGTAATTTTAAATAAATAAAACTTAACGAATGATCTCTGAGTGAATTTAATTAAAAATCTTTTTATATTATTTTATTATTTAAAGTGACTGTGGTCACATTCTACACACACCCGATAACAAGTGAGTGTATCACCATACAATGACACTACATGAATGCGATTATTTTAACAACAAATTAACATAATAATTTTTCCAATAAATAAACATGGATGGCATATTTTTGTAAGGAAGTAATTAATTGAAATATCTGCTGGTTAGTTGTCAGACACATGAGTTCGAGTTAGGAATGTTATATTCACATAACTAGAGACAAATAGAAATCCACATAATTAGTAGAAATCCGAAAATCGTAGTTATTATGAAAACTTCTCTTATTGAAACGGATGTTAATTTAATCGCCAAGGAAACAAAACCAGAGATGATGCTTGCAGTAGTACTTCTGAGCAGCTAATTTTCATAATAACATGTTATGATGAATCTCACCTTGTACGAGTTCAAACGCCGATCATGCTGGCAAAAGCCACAATAAATAATTCCTTTGAAAACTAAACTCTATTTCTGCAGCAAATGTTAATGACAAACTGTAAGGACGGAGTTTAGGTGAAATTTTCTTCCTGTCTTCAATGTTTTCGTCTACCGATCGCGGAACTATTTTCCACGAAGCGCATGCGCGGTGAAGAGAGCAGAGAATTGTGGGAACGTTTGGGGTCTCGCGTTGCCTTCTCGAGACTGTGTTTGCTCAGCTGTTTGCGATCCTAACTTAACTGCTGTGTTGTTGTAGGTTGCTTGTTAAACGTAGCAGAATTCTGGGACATTCATAGATTATCGTCACTGAATATTACAACAGTGAGAAGAAGAACAGTATGGAATTGGTAAGTGTTAAGACTAACGCTGGTAAATGCATTTATTTTGTGGGAAGAATTTGTACTTTTATTAGAATGTTTTGTTCGATGTCAAACTGACGTTCAACTTTCTGCTAACTAATTTACGATAGGTTGTCTGGTAACTATCGTGTGTATTTGTAAATATACGTCGGTTAAGTCATACCACAAACAGTGAACGTAGCAATGTTTGATATCACGGTTTGTAGCCATGTTGACACTAATACTGGCCTGCCCAGTAGCGAAAATTACCCGCACAGAGTTGATCATTGCATTTTGAAGCGTACTGGACTGCGGACGACACAATTATTGTACTTGATCCGTATTCAACGTCGACTGGTTAATTATTTTCTTAAATTGACTCAAAGTTTTACACAGACGATTGCGTTATCTGGACTACAGTGTACAGGGGATAGAATTAAACCCACCGTAGCTACTTGCATTGTTGACCTCTATGATTGTTCTCTGCTTTGCTAACTTGTTTTCGCATTTGTTGCTCTGCTATTCTAAAAATGGTAACAATTCAATATGAACTTAAGTTCCGCTCTCAAATATCACACGATCTTAGCCATAATATAATCGTCACTTCAACGGTAAAGTATTAATGACACACAGAGTACAGGGTTCGATTTCCTTGAAAACTGACTGTTATTGTTTACAAATTACGCGAGTGTTCGTAAACGTTATTAGTGTACATGTAGTACGTTACTGGGAATTAGAGCGACCATAAAATTATTACGTATTGTGGTTCCCTATTACCACTTCCAGCGCAATATTGACTCAGAGTTTGATTTCGTTGAAAACCGTTGTTGTTTACAAATTACACAAGTGTTCGTACAAATTATCCGTATAAGGGCTATTTTGAATAGTTACTTAATTTAGGACAATGATTACCAAATATTATCTACTACTCGGAATTAGTGCATCCACTGCCAGTACTATATAGACTTCGGTGAGGGTGTTGTGAAAAACTAAACATTTTACCATGACAATAAAACAATTAATCTCCATTCAGCATTTATTTACTTTATTTAATTTAATTTTGTGTAAACTTGTTTTATTACTGATACAATGTACTATTGTCTTTCAAAATGACCACACCTGAGGGATAACAATTGAACTTGCTTTTAATTGTGGGAAATGGAGCCTCATCTAAATAAAACAATATTTTAATTTAATTTTAATTTAACTCACTGATTGCCAAAGTGATCTTTTGTCATTTTTCTAAAAAAAACTTTTATTTTATTCCATACTATTATTTCTATATTGTCAAAACCAGTGGAAACTGGAAATTATGTCTAAATAGACCAACATTTAATTTTTAAAGCAAATTTAAGGCACATTGTCGAGAATTATTCACTTGGCAATGTTGTTTGGTTGCCATCAATTTTCCCGTCAACATTATGGTGGGACAATTTGTACATATTAGAAATGAGTAAACTATATGTACATGCAGTTACACTGTTAATATGTTAAATTAGATAATTAACAGATTTATTTATTGGCCAGCTTTCTTTTTTAAGGGTGTTGACTTATGTATAATATAGTAACAGTCAAATTTACATGGAAGACCAGTACAAGTATGTTCATGTCATGATGTGGAAAGGTCAACTTGAACACATTTAATGTGACAGGTTGTCATTTTTATTTTTAGGCACTATGTGCGTTGACACTAATTTAAAATTTGTCCTCCCATGATTGTTCTTACACTGCATGACTTGTGTGACCCCCCCCCCCGTGTTTACATTTAGAAACTTATTGAGTTTTGAGTAAATTCTACAATTTGTTTTTTGAATAAGTTCCCATGTACTGTACATAGGCTTATCCACTAACCCCTAGTGACAATCATTCACGAAATGAACCTAAGTCTGCATAATTTTTTTTAATATTCTTAAAAAAATGATGAGCAATTTCTGTAGGTGCTTAGAAATACCATCAATTTGTTTCAAACCTAAAAAAGAAATTATAGAAACTTGTATAAAAATGTGTCAAATGTTGGTCCACATTTTGGTATAAAAAATGTTGTACCAGTATGCTGCTCCCCCTGTATTTTTTTTTCCAAAATTTACCAAAAAAGAATTACATTAAAATGGGAAATCTTTGCCATTTTTTCCTGTTTTCACCACCAGACTTTCTCGCCTAAATTTTTCTGCACTTTGTTCTTATATTCTCCAATATTTCTGGAAATAAACCAAAATTTCAGACAAAATTTGTGTCAATTTTCAGTTGTTAAATTTGGATATTTTTGTTCAAATTTTCTGAAGGCAAACTATAAACAGGGCTATTTTGTGAATTTGTAATGAAAAGAGGGAACTGGTGGTGAAAAGGTTAAATAACAATCCAGAAAGTACTCAGTGAGAGAATGGTGGAGCAATTCATCTACTGAGAGCCTTCACAGATACTGTAAAACATGTTGAAAAAGCGACATGCAATTTTAGCGAATTGTGGTAAAATGTCGTAGTAGCAAAACGCCGAAATGTTGATTTAGCGAATCTCTCTCGTCTTTGTTGATTTCCTGTTTTCACAATACTTGTCTGTCGCCTGCCAAAACAAATGCGCAATTAACACCTCCATAAAAACAAAGAAAAACCGTCAAGTGTAATAAGGAAGCGCTCCAGATTATTACGTTTTCTGTGTTGTTTACAAAGTGTGTGTGTGGAGAAAAAAACGTTGTTTGGCCGCCATTTTGAATTTATAATGAATAAAAACAGGTGATGTGTTAATATTAATAAAATAATATTCAATCGTGGATATTAAAATGGATATACAGATTTACAAGATTTTCACTCTATGTTTTAATTTTATATTTTTATATTTTATATTTTTATATTTTATATTTTTAATTTTACGTTCACAAAACTTGCATAAAATATTATGGTCATAGAACTACTTCTCACTTAAAAGTGGCTTTAAAACCCATGAAAACAAATGATGTTTGAGTCACATTGGTTTCTAGGAATATTGTTCGAAAATATATAGTGGAAATATAATAGTATGTTGTTATAAGATGGGTAATTCTGATTGTCACGAATTATTATGAGATTCTGGGGAATATAATTTATTTTCTATAAAATATTGTTTTTATCTGGACTCACATGGAAATTGTTCCAAAAATGACCAATTTTCTCAACCTGATTTTCTCAAAAACCATGATTTTTACCAGGTAAAACAGCACAAATGGTATGTCATATATCCATTTCTATAGTTCAGTAGCACTTTTAAACCAAAATATTGTGATAAAATTGTCACTCTGTTTAATTGATAGGAATACCTGCCAACATCCTTGAATAATGGCCATGTGTGTACATTTATTACAGATTCCTGAACTCAAAGATTCCAAAGTATTTATTAAAGATATTAAGAAAGTAAAGTCAGTTATAGAGCAGCTTGCATCTGATGGAAAAGATAAGCTACAGGTAGGTAGAGATTTGATGGAAAGTAAACAACATTATTTTTGTGTGTTATTTCATGCAGTGACACATCACATGTGTAGAAACAACCAATCACAGGCAGAATCAATCAAACAATCTTTTACAGCTCAGCCTGCTCTTTCCTTTCAGGCTCGGGGTAATGTCAGAAATGGAGTGTTTAACCAAAGACACTAGAGAATACAGGGACAGGCAACTGAGGCAAATATCCAGAAAATGATCAATGATGTTCCGTGTGACGTATCATGGTGCATCTCGTTCACGTAAGCATCTGAGTGCATACAGCAAGCAAGTCCACGACCTCCATATCATTTATTTTTATTTGGAATTTATTTTTGCTAAAGGAATAAATCAGTGAAAAATAAAAACTAGTGAAAACATTTTTTTTTCTATAGTTTTACAATTTTAGTCATAAAAAGTCAATGAAAATATTACTCGTCAAAAAGCAGTAATAATAATCTCCACGCAAAACAGCCAAACATTTTATGGAACTCATTTTTGAAAACAAATTACATGTAGTTTAGATACTACTGTTTAAGGTAGAGATGCAGGTTCGTGGGCACTTGGGAAATTTTTTTTTTTTGCTTTTTATTATCCAAATAATCTTGGCTATAGACTGTTAAAATTTGGTAGAATTGTGAAAAGTGGAACATACTCTAAAAATGATTTTAAAATATAGATAACAGGTGCAAACATTCTCTCTTTTGAGCAAGATTTAGCAAGGCTGTCCATAAATAATTTTAAAAAAAACATGGTGAAAAAAAGAAATGACGGGATCTCCATATTATGCACTATATTTAACTTTTAACAAAACGATAATACATTTAAATTTGGAACTGTTACAGCCATTTTAATTATGAGCATTAGCAAACTTCTTACAGAGTGAATTGTTATGCAAATTAGCAATTATCTCAGCTTCTTTTTAGTGCACATCCCAGAACATTAAAAAACATAGCTTTGACCTTTTGTTTTGAAATTTTCACAAATGATTGACAATGTGTTTATCTTCAAAACACCGCCGGGGCATTGTTTTGGGTTGAGCAGTGTTACAACAATCGTACAGACAACTAGCCTGGGTGTTAATTTATGCATAAACTTGAAGTGGTGAAATTTGAACTGCTGCCCTGCAAAATTGACAACTGGTAGACAGTTTTCAAGACGGCACTTTCTTCATAGTAAACAGATGTACCCATAAACCAATTTTGAAGCTAATTTTTTTTAAATCACTTTTGACCAAAAAAGCACATTTTTGTGCACATTTCAAACTACAGTGTCCATAACAAAAAATACTAACAAAATTTTAAAATTCATACAATAATCTTTTTGAGAAGTCATCTTGATTTCTTAATTAACTTATTAAAATACCTGTCAGGTAAACTGCATCTCTACCTTAATTACTATGGCGTAGACTTGTTTTTGTCTGAAAATCGATTAATAAAGATCTCTTGTTATCATTTACTTGCATCCTGTGTCACAAAGAAAATGTCCCAACAACCCTCAACTCCAAATCATCTTGTAGCCAATTTTTACAAAACACGATATTCGTTCAAAACCTTCTAGTTTATGTTCTGTTGTTCATAACATGTCACCTAGACATATCGTTGTTTTAAAATTTATCCATTGGAAATTCATGCCATAAAACGTGATCTTGCATGTTTGAATGTACAAAATCACTTTTAAATGTTACATCATTGCAAGAAAAAGACAGCAGTTGCCTCTGTCCCTGCATTCTCCAGTGTTATGGGTTTAACATACTGAACTGTTTAGCTGATTTAGCTCCAACACTGTATATGTATACAGTACATTGCACACTTCTAGTTGTTTCCAGGTACTTCACTATGTGTTATACTCCTACAGCCATATCACAGTCATTTGTACACAGCAAAGTTATGATCACATTTTTCTCTACACTGTTTACCATTAAAAAGTCAGCTTCAGTGTAAAGTCATTTACATGTACATGTATATTTTTTTGAGCTTGCATATGTGTGTTGAATGAATCAGTAGTAGCAGCAGAAACTAGCACTGCTATTATTTTCTTTCTGGTGTGAACAACGTGTGCTTGCCAACCAGTCACTGTGTATTAGCATGCATGCAAAGCAAAGTGTGCAGCTGTTTCTCGACATCATTTGTACAAGTGATCAAATATTTCATTTTGCGCAAAGGATCCTACTAGGAACCAGTGCTTTTCAGTGGTCTTGTCATTTATTGTTTTTTTGCATACCTTTTTAGCATTATTTTAGTAATTTTTTCATAATTTTTTTAATTTCATTATTTCTACTTCTGTAGGTAATTACTGATTTTGATCGGACCTTCACAAGATGTTATTTTAATGGAGAGACATGCCCGTCATCATATGGTAAGAATTATATATATATATCTACATTGCATAGGTCCCATATTGAACACAATATTTTCCTGATGATAAAAAACATTTGCTCACTCTCAAACATGATGAGACTCTGCTGTACAAAAGGCAGATAAAGATAATAAACATGGACTTATGGATTAACCTCTGTATTTCCATGTGGTAAGGCATTCCCATTCATATTTTAGTTGTGTCTGAACCGAACACTTTCAAATTTGAAACGTAAATCATACATTTTTGGATTCTATTCAAATGGCTGAATGACAGCCATGTTTGCGCTAAAAATTCATCAAAAGCATTTTTGCCATTCTGGAATCGGATCTCAATCGTGCATAGATTTCATTTAAACTTGATACACATACCTTAATGTATGTCATTTTGGTTTTCAAATTGCATTTGAAATGTTTGAATGGCGGGCATTTTGTTTTAACCTTTTCACCACCAGTTCTCTCTTCTCATCACAAATTCATAAAATAGTCTTGTTTATAGCCTGCACTTTCCATCAGAAGATTGGGACAAAAATAGCCAAAGTTTTTGAGTAAAAATGAAAAATTTACTCAAATTTTGTCTGTTAGCTCCAACAAGATTGGTGTTCATTTCTAGAAATATTAGAGAATACAAGAAAAAAGTGAAGAAAAATTTCGAGAAAGTCTGGTGGTGGAAAGATTAAACTTATTAACTCATGGGGACTATATAATGCAATTACTTGGTTGATTAAATTATGAAAAATATTAACAATCTTGGCATGACAGGCTAAGCATAGGATACTGTAGAATACTTTATTTTCGCTTGGAATTTATTTTCGCTATTTTCGCTGAAGGGATGATTCCGTGAAAATAAAATCCAGCGAATATACTTTTTTTCCTATATTTCACATTAAACTCATCAAAAATCAGTGAAAATAAATTCCATACAAAACGCCCAAAAAGCCTTTTCAGCGAAAATTAATTCTAGCTAAAATAAAGTATTCCACAGTAGTCAGTAATAAATGCAACTGATCTTGTATCAATAAAATATGTCATTGCATCAGACCACCCAACAAATGTTTTCTGCCATAATACTGGTACAACATTTTGCAAATTATTTTCTTTGTTATTCTTCGACCTGATAAACATAATTTGAATTGCCAACAGGTCTTGATCAAAATTGTTAACAAATGATGTGGCCTTATTTTGTGAAAGATTTCAAAAGTTGATTTGCTGTTCAAAGGGGTTTATGGCTGTCAGATGGCTTGAAACCCAGTGGTTGCTGCATGTGGCTATATACATGTATTTTTTTGAAACCAGCAAATCTTATAAACGATAATGAGACACTGAAGTCCAGAAATTGTGCATTTCCATGTAAGAAGACCTGATGAGAAAAAGAACTAGAACTTACAATATATTCTGTGTACACATGGCACCCCTTTTTGTACTCTGGTGGTAGGGTTCCCCTCTATAATATTAAGAGTCTCGAAGTAGATCATGGTATTAATGTAATCCTTGCTGGAGTCCCTAAATGATGTGTGTTTCATTTCAGGAATCATTGATGACAGCATTCTACTTCCCTCATCATATCGTGCAAAAGCCACAGCACTACGCAATCATTATTATTCTATAGAGATCTCAGATGATATATCACTCGATGAAAAATACCAACACATGGTGGACTGGTACGAATTATTTATATTATTCATTTCCTTAACACATTGAAATGCCATCATTTTTTTTCTCACAATTTTTTGTACAAGATTTTTCCCATTAATTTCTTTGTTAAAATTTAACAAAATGAAAATAATTTTCCACTGGTGTATGATTTTAAAAAAAATTCGGGGGGATTTATTTGGTGGTAGTTGACATTCACATTCAGAGGGTTAAATATCAATGTGGATTTACGCCATGTATTCCTTTTTATTTAACGACCGCCCAACATCTGACAAGGCGAATCACTTTCTGGCAGCTCTGCTCTGATTAGATGTGTTAACTAATTAATTAGTGAGAAAGCATTTCAGAAAAGATGGCAAACACATGTAACAAAAGTTATTCATATTATAGGGCTATAGTTATAGCAGGGTACACATTGATCATCTACAGTGTATATCTAAAAAGAAATGCTTTACTCATATTTGTATTGTATTCGTATCTGTATTAGAAGCCACATCCCTAATAGCAGCTGCACCAACCTTTTCTGAAGCAAAATTTGACCATTTCTCATACGTGTAGATGCTCTAATAAAAGCCACATACCCTCGGTTGCATTGTACTATTTTAATATAAGCAGTGGATTCTGATACAGATTTTGTAGTACACATTTCAAATTTACTCAGCATTGCTTAAGGACTATCAGTTTACATGTACATGTCTGTCTTGTCTTTTTAGGTGGAATCAAGCCCATGCATTGTTAGTGGAACACCATGTGATGAAACATGACATTGAAGAAATGGTCCGGCAGTCTAAAGCGCTTTTACGGTATTTTATTTAAATACATTGTTTAGCAGTTTAATATTGACATGATGCAAATAATGGTAGAAGTAACAAACCTGTCACTAAGTTGTGATCCCAGTCCCCGTTTTTTAAACACTGATGTGATACAATAAATCTTTTCAGTTATTTCTTTACTAAATAATGATAAATAAAACTTGGAAACAATGTAGGAATAAACTGGTCCAAAAAATGTACACTCAGCAGTCAGTTTACACCAATAGTTCCATGCATGAAGTGCATTCTACCCGTGATTTGTTTGCGTTTGAAGGCGTTCTATTTCAAGCTATTTAAAACCTGAAATAAACAAGTTAAATGTGAAAGTTGTTTCTTTGATGTTTTGTGTGTTCCTGAGTCAACACATCACACACTCAATAAACAATATTTCACCAAAATATGAGTAATTTAAGTTGTAAAAAGAAGTTCCGTGTATAAACACAAGTGTAAAAAGGTGGCGGAGCGCTATTTAAGCCAAAATCAACTAGTAAGCCTGTGCTGAGACAACAAATATTTACAGTATTCAATGTATTTATGTACGCTAACCATCAACTGTGTTTTTTTTTAAACAGAGATGGTTGTCAGAAACTCTGTCAGGTGCTACATACCCACGATATACCTCTGCTCGTATTCTCAGCTGGCGTAGGCGACGTCTTGGAAGAAGTTATTAAACAACAAGGCTGTTACTATGACAATGTTCATATTGTGTCCAACTATATGGATTTCAATAATGAGGTATGATTCACTGCCCAATGTTTTGATGTTAATGTGCATCTGGATTATGGCTTCTCTGAAATCTTTCGACCCATGTTATGGTATTTCCTGAAATCTCTTGTATAAGCAATGTATGTATTATTTTACCAAATAAAATGATTAAAATAAAATGCATGTAGAGGCCAGACTGGTTATTTTTTATATACGACCATCAGGATACTACATCTGACCAATAGTATGCAAATGATTTTTATGCTGTTGTGCTGTTAAGGATTTGTCAGCCAATCAGATAGTGCCTTACAAAAACCTGCAATGCAATTTTTTTTAATTGGTCTATAATGCAATGAATGGTTATAATAATTTAATTCTTTGACCCAATTATATGCTTTTCTCCCAATAATTTGTGTGCAGGGCTGCCCAACAAAAGTGACATAAAATTGCATAGAGGTAACATTTACATGCTATCATTATACAGTATTTTCTCTATTTGAAGCACCTCTCTCATAGAAGCACTCGTACATGTAGACTAAAAATTGAATTTATTGAATCATGAAAATATGTCTTACTGTGAAAGACTTTATTTTAACTGGAATTAATTTTCACTGAAAAGACTTTATTGTTTTGTATGTAATTAATTTTCACTCATTCTTGTTAAATACTAATTAAATAAATCTCTTTGTTTGTTTCTTGCAGGGAAAGCTAATAGGATTCAAAGGTGACATCATCCACGTCTTCAACAAAAATGAAAGTGTAATTCACCATAGTGACTATTTTGACAAAATTGAGAATCGTAATAATGTTATCTTACTGGGTGATTCAATAGGAGATCTTAAGATGGCGGACGGTGTTGAGAATATGAATCAATGTCTGAAAATAGGGTTTCTCAACGATAAGGTGAGTTTTGTTACAAGCAAATTTGCGTACTATGTAAATTACGTTTTTGTTCTTTTGCAAAATTAAAGAGGTGCTTTGCTTTTTAGAAAGGTATGAATGTTTTTTACCTTTTTACCAGTTCCCTTTTTCCATCACAAATTCAAAAATAGTTCCTTTTATAGTCTGTGCTTTCCTTCAGAAGATTGGGACACAAAAAAAGCCAAATTTTTTGAGTAAAAACTGAAAATGAACCCAAATTTTGTCTGTTCGCTTCAAAACTAAGGTTCATTTCCAGAAATATCATATAATATAAGAAAAAAATGCAAACAAATTTGGGCGAGAAAGTCTGGTGGTGAAAAGATCCAACGCACATACCTTAAAATAAGAACTTATGTTTTGGCGTGTGTCTATATGTGCGCCCGTCATCAATTCTTGAACATTCCTCGACCAATTTTGTTCACAAAGCAAGTTATAATTGGAAAGCTGAGCATGAATCAGGATGTGAACATGTCATCAATCATTTCTCAGATATGCTCTGACTGATTTCATTCAAACTTCATATGAATACCACACATAATGAGTTACTAATGCATATCATTTAGTTCTGTGATTCAATTCATAATGGCCGACTGGCGACCATGTCTTCATGTATTCTTGACCATTTCTCAGGCATTTTTTGACCAATTTTGTTGATAGTAGGTGAAAAGACAAGACATAATGGTATACATAGGCACATTGATTTGTTTTGTGTTTTGACGACATTTGACTGACTGGTGACTGTATTTGTCATCTAAAAAACATGTCAATAATGTTTCTCAGGCACGTTGGTTTTATTCAAACTTGCTATGAACATAACAGATGAGTTACGTGACAATTTTGTGGTTTTGAACATTTTCTTACTTAAGTATTGGTTCAGGCACAATTGCATGACCCTACACAAGGCATTTTTCATATGAAATTAAATTTAAAAACTAAGGATCGGGTAGTCACTATTTCATTGAAAGTGGTCATCGTAGAAAAACATGACGCACACTATTATGGGAAATGACACATAAAATAACCAGTTAGAGGTCGTCAGAGAAAGACTTAGCCCCTCAAGATGGCGACGTATTTGACATTTTGCCTGAGATGTAATAACCGAACATAAGGAAAGTTATTATCTGCCCTAAATATGTTCATTTAACTGTTGATACATGATAACAATTCTTTCTGTCCTAATCTCAGTCTGTGTTCTCATTACAGGTGGAATCCAAACTAGAAGACTACAAGAATAAATTTGACATTGTGTTAGTCAACGATGAAACGATGGATGTTGCCAATGCCATTATCAATAAAATAATTTAAACTGGTACTGATCATGTGACCTGAAATACTATCATTATCAACATCGAATAATGTCTGCAATTTTAATTCTTTAACATTTTTACTTTTCTTTCTTTGATTATGCAAATACTGGTCAGGAAATCAGTATGGATGAATATACTATTAAAAATAATCTTCCAACTTTACTTTTTATTTAATTCAGTGGTGTGTTGTGTATTGTAGATGAACATGTAAATAGTGTTTTCAGATCACGCTGTCATGACAACGTGAATGTAAATTTTGTCAATTTCAAAGCTGTAACACATTTTGTTCAGGGAAAAACAGTTTTTTTTTGTTTTTTTTTGTATAAAGAAAATTTGAACAATGTTTTTAAATGCCAATAGGATGAAACTGTAAAATACACTAATTCCGTTTGTGGTTTATTAATTATTATTTTTTCTGTATTTATTATATTATATTATGTTCTAGCTCCATGCTTGATTTTACATGTAGGGGTGTGGATAACTAATAAAAACTTGCACACAACAAACTTAATCTCTACTTTTAAAAGATGCGTCAAAGGTGAATATGTTAGGTGCATGGTTTAATTATCCACAACCCCTTACTGTAAAATACTTTATTTTCGCTTAGAATTAATTTTCGCTATTTTCGGCATAGGAATAGTTCAGTGAAAATAAAATCCAGCGATTATACTGTTTTCCTATATTCCAACTCGTCAAAAATCAGTGAAAATATATTCCATACAAAACACCCAAAAAGTCTTTTCAGTGAAAATTAATTCCAGCTACAGTATTTTACAGTATTCCTACACATGGTGCTATGTTGCTGCTGAGTTTATTTCTAACATTAACACACACACATTAATACAGTTATTCCATGAATGATTTTGAAGTGCAATTTAATTAAAGTAAGTTCAATGAAGTAGAAACATATTCAAGTGTAAGTTAATTGAATTCAATACACTATTCCTATAAATTGCGCTCTCTAATGCCAGAACTCTTCTGTAACATCAAAATGACATATTGTTTGTTATTTAGTATATCGCAAAATCAAATACCTACCAGGTAGTCATAATTGATAGACGGACATCTACAGATCGAAACGATATCGTCACTTTGAAAGGTATCACCAATTTTTTGTCACTAGAGGGCGCGATTTATGGACAAGGTGTATTAAAAATTAAAGTTTATGTCGTTTGGTATACTTGTACTGTAAACCATCTTAAAGCTAATACCAAGACTTTTTTTGCTCCGCTGTCGACTTTGTTGAGCGAAGCTTATCATATCAACTTTTTACTTAACTTCTTCTTGAAAACTAAAATTGTTATTGCTTTGATACTTGGTGTATATATACTATAGGCAGATCTCAGATTTGTTCATTTCATTATATCTTCAATTCTCTAATTTTGATGAATATTTTTGTCATTTTTGGTGAAAAGTGATATTTTCGACCACTTGTTAAAAACGCAAATCCAATTGGTTTGTTCATTTTCTAATGATATCTTCTGTTCTTTAATTGAAATGTACATTGCTAACAGCAGAACTATCTCAGTCAGGAGGCTGCTTGTTATTTTTTAAAATTGAACAGAGGGAGCTGTAAAATTCTTAATGACTTGTTAAATTTAATGTTGTATTAAAGTGGTCTCACTTAAATTTTATTGTAAATCCAACACATAGACATGGATAACCTATGATATGCTTCCATTCCAGTAAAATAATTCTTCAAAAATTTCGGTCTAGACCTGCAGCTACTGTAAAATACTTTATTTTAACTGGTTGCACAGCTACTGTATTTGCATTTGTATGAAGATTAGATGTAAGCTTACTCTCGATTGGTTGTTCTGGATATTCAACTTTTCGAGCCAATGAGGAAGAGCCTTTTACAGTTGTGCATTTACTTCATGCTAATCTATCTATCGTAAATTTTTTTTTTTACAAAATAGTTATTTTGTTTCTAAAAGCAATATGGATAACTCTCAATAAATTTGTTAGTGATAATGTATGTTGATGTCTATAATTTATCATAAGATAAAAACATTTTATTGTATTAATAATTTGAAAAGAAAAACTTGTGCTTCATGAATTTACCTCTCAGTCCATACAAGTAATTCAAAATGCAATAGAAATGATTTCATCAAACAAATACTGCTTTGTTTAAGGTCAAGATAACATGCTTTTTATGATAAATCATACGATATACTGTAGAATACTTTATTTTCGCTGAAAGAATGATTCCGTGAAAATAAAATCCAGCGAATATACTTTTTTTTTCTATATTTCACATTAAACTCATCAAAAATCAGTGAAAATAAATTCCATACAAAACGCCAAAAAAGCTTTTTCAGCGAAAATTAATTCCAGCGAAAATAAAGTATTCCACAGTAGTTTTAATCAAGATACAATATTGAACAAAATTATTTAAGTTAATATGCGCAAAGATATGCATATAATTTTGTAATTTCTATGCATTAGACAATTAGCCAACCCACTGGTGACACTTTCCTGATAGCAGTAGTTGAAACAGTCTCAATTAACTAAATAGCGTTCCTTGTACATGTAGTTTCTGGAAATGCTTGTCATGATCACCAAAAAAAGTTCTATTGTTTGTTGTATCTTAATCGTCTTTGGTAGTCTCCTTGTGTGCGTAAAATAAACCTTACTCACAAGCCACATGACTTGCCCCAAACTGTGTTCCATTCTCTACTGCCATCGTGTCCACTGTCCCAAATACAGTTTGTGAATAACATCTATTGTAAGCACTGCCACCATTATGAGACATGGCAGTAAATTAAACACAAGGACATTAATGTTATTACATTAGCGTATATACAATAGGAGGAGCCTATATACAATAAACCGGTACACACTTTAATTGTCGTTGGTTGACATACATAAAACTTTGTTACAGTTCTGTATTAGTTTTAATCTGAAAATAAATATTATTACAACAAATAACGAGTATGGTATGTTGTGATCACAAAACCAAACAGGACATAGGTTTACCTAGACTGATGATGACTATGATCATACAATTTTTAAAAGCCTATGAATAATAGACCAGTGAATTCACCTGGATTATTGCACCTCTAGGTACACAATGAGATATGACTAGCATTGTAGCTAGGCATTACTAGATTGGTAGTCAAAATAGTGTTAGAAATCTTCACCCAATAAATCTTTAGTTTAGGTAACTACTCTGATAGAATCTTCAAAAGAAGTTGTAAATTTTGTACTCATTTCCAAGCTTAATCCTTTCACCACCAGATATTTCTCACCCAAATGTTTCTACACTTTTTACTTATATTCTCAAATATTTCTAGAAATAAGTCAATTTTCAGTTCTTACTCGAAAAATTTAGCTACATGTATTTTTGTTCCAATCTTCTGAAGGAAAGTGCAGACTGCATTTTGTGAATTTGGGATGAAAAGAGGGAACTGGTGGTGAAAAGCTCAAGTAACACCTCACACAGTACCAAACAACTGTTGAGTCTATTCAAAAAAATCATTTTATCCCAGCTATAATTTATTTTCGCTGATAAATACAGATCTTGTGAAATGTTACACACACACAAAAAAAATTGTCAGTGATTTACTACTCAAAACATGGTTATTCAAAATAATTAATTTTAATATTTTCGTGCTAGATTTTATTCTCCTATAAACATTTTGGTTACAATGCTATTCCAATTTCTGTGTCCTCATATCTGCATTAAAGTTATGTTCAAAGATCATTCAAACAGCCATACAGATTGGTTGTGAGATGAATTTGATGGCCTGAATGTCAGCAAATTCCATGAAATATGTAACTGATGATGATGCATCGGAATAATGATGATCATTTTGGCTTCCAATTAATTTTTTTTTGTTAAAGCCATTAAATAATGTTCAAGTGTACATAGATTCGAAAATATTTGCTTCTGTTACGAATTCCTGCAGTTTGTAGTAATTCAGAAAAAAAAAAGGTGAATCTTAATTTGCAACGTGTCCATACTGCTGATCTGCACTGGCTCGTAAGATGAATTCTGATTGGCTAAAAAAACAAAAGACTTGTGGCGTTGAATGCACGTTCATTCTCAGTAATGTTATGCAAATTAGAAATTCAAACTAGCTAATCATTTACAACCTTCCGAGCCAGTGCAGATTAGCCCTGTCCATACACTGACCCATCAAAGTTTTACATAATGGTACCAAGTCCCCAATAATGCTTTAAAGTGAGGGAATCATCACCTTTGCATACGACAGACTACTATAGTGTGTTGTTATTTACAAACAAACTTCTACCCGTTTTTTTACTTTGCATTTTTAGAGTGTGTTGTTATTGTCACTTGGGACTCGCGTGCACGTGCACGTGCACAGATGACAACCCTTCACTTTACGGACAATCTTAGTACAACTTTAATCTAGTTTACAAATAGATTATTTTCAGTGTGATCACTGCAAGATACTGTATAAGGCATGAAATCAAACACAAACATCAGAATAACATGGGCCAAAGCACTGTAGATGGGTCACAACAACACGATACGCGAGATCTCACAATACTTGCAGTGAGTAGAAAATCATCTATTAAAAGTGAATGCTACCAAAGAGAATAAAAGATATTTCTGCATACTGCATTGATAAATAACACAGAATTATTGAGGACTGGAAGGCAGTTCATTAACCCTATTCCAATGCTCAAGAACGAAATAAAGGTATACAAAATTTGGTTTCATCTGATGAAGATCCAACTGATCACAGAAAATTATTGTTTGTACAGTATGTCACTGCTTCACAAACAAATTTTTTTTTAGCAAGCTAACTTTTAATTCAGATTTTGAATAAAAAAAATCAATAAATCATTACATCATTTTTTTTTCAAATTTTCTTTGGCACAAATATATTTGTTACTAAATGTAATTGTGGTTCTAGCTTTTGTTTTGGGTCTGAATACATCACTTTTTTTTATACAAGTGCTCGCAAGGATTCATCTCCTGCACATAGTTTACAAACAAGTGCTACCCATGAGCCTTTGCATTTTTTGTATGTGTTGTTGTCGTCGCTTTGGACTCTAGCAGATAAAAAAACCCTCCACTTTAGGGGAAGTCTCGCATTGTCACCGCAGCTCAGAAAATGTAAATTTTTTATTTAATTCTGGACAAAATTTTAACAGTATGAAATATTCATGATGTTAGTCACATGTGTGACAATACAAGATCGTCTCTAAGCTGTATAACATGGATCAGGGGCTAATCTGCACTGGCTCGGAAGGTTGTAAATGATTAGCTAGTTTGAATTTGCATAACAATACTGACAATGAACGTGCATTCAACGCCACAAGTTTTTTTGTTTTTTTAGCCAATCAGACTTCATCTTCCGAGCCAGTGCAGATCAGCCGTGGATCAGTGTGGACAGGTTTATATTATTTACAATCTTTTTATGGGAGGGGGGAGCTATTGTGAAATACTTTATTTTAGCTGGAATCAATTTTCGCTGAAAAGACTTTAGGTGTTTTGTATGGAATTTATTTTCACTAATTTTTGGCAAGCTGAATGTAAAATATAGGAAAAATAGTATATTCGCTGGATTTTATTTTCACTGAATCATTACTTCAGCGAAAATCAATTCTGAGCAAAAAAAGTATTTCACAGTATTCTGTGATGTGTAGCAACACAATTTGGTGTCATATGTTTTGATTTGAGTCGCATGGCACGCACTGTAAATATTTACTTTGATTAAAGGGA